TATAAATGGGCATTACTGCAAGAGTGGTGCTGGTTTTTAGATTCTAAAAATATAAAATTAAATACAAATGAAAAAATAAATTACACAACACAGAAATGATGCCTGGTTTGCAAAGCTGGTGTGCAGGTCTGGGTTACTAGTTGGATTCTTTGGATATTTAGAAAGCCTCCCATATATTTCTTAGAAACTCTTCAAAATCTAAGTTTGTTTCCTCTGGCACCTAAGCAAAGTGGTTCTTGCTTCACCCCCCCTCCCACCAAACCAGGGATTTCATTGAGAAACAGAAAGGGTTTTGTCTCTTTCAGGCTGACAGAGTACTTCTGCGGGCTCCATAGCTCCATGATCGAACAAGTCCTTAAAGACATGTTGAAGAGCTTGCTGTTAAGGATGGACAGAAGCTTCTAAAACACACAAAGGCATGTGAAGAATTCTCAGTTAAAAGAAAACAAGCAAATCCCTACTGCTTTTATGTGGTCTTGACAAAGTGACTTGTCAGTGTTGTAGGAAAGAGAAAGAGATTTCTCGATGTGACAGTTTGGGGTAGTAAATATGAATTTAGACACTGGGACATTACCTCTAGGTCAATCATTAGACTTTTATCTCTGCTTCTATGTTCATTACAACTGATTGCTAATTTGTTTAAATAACTCTTCTATGAGATTTAAGATGGTTAAATTTTATGTCCACCATATTTGGAAACTCATGATAATCAATTTCTTCCTCTGTCCTTAAATAAAAACCTTTTATAGCTTAGAAGCTAAAAATGAACAAGGCCTCGCAGTACAGAGAAATGCCCATACCTTCACACGAGCACTCCACGTACAGAGACATGCTAGGAACTTTAGTGCATTTTTTAAAGGTTATCGTTTAAGCTGTCAAGTAGTAATTGCATATATTTTACATTGTAAAAAAATTTAATCTAATTATGGTCACCATCTCATCTACTCACTTTTTTTGCAGTGAAAATGTTTTAAATTTATTCTTTTAGAATGTTAAGATACATAATACATTGTTGGTCACTGTAGTTCCCACTCCTATACAATAGAGCATCAAAGCTTATTCTGTCTACTAAACTAGAATTTGGTATGATTTATAGATAATGGCATACTACACACCCTTAACTCTGAATTTCTGTTACATGAAGCTTAATATTTTTAAAATATTTTGTTATTGTAAGATGATGTATAGAGGGATTACAATTACATATCAATTAGTTATATGTCATAAGTTACACTTACATAGCAGTGTCACCTCCTCTCTCATTTTTTCTGAGTTTTTCACTCCTGACTGGCCTAATATTTAATGTCCTTCTTTTGTTATTTCTAAGTTTTCTAATCTTAAGTTCCTCCATCTCTCATTGGCCGTGATTTCGTTTGATTCATTACATTTGATCAATTACTTTCTTTATGCTGCATTCCTTCTAGAATGTCAACTGCCACCTGAGCAATGATCTTGCAGAAAATCAAAACATGGCAGAAAATCAAGAAATAGTGACCATGTGAGTGAATAAATAAATAATCCAATGCACAGGAGAGAGGGCAGAATGTAAAAGAACAGAAAACGGGCAAGATTGAGGTTTGGATGTGTGCATAGTATAGGTAAAGGCAGGCTATCCTGGTAGTCCATGCTGGGTGAGGAATCTCATCCTGAGTAGTAAGAGTAGACACTTATTCACATCAAGGAGAACTTATACCTCAGATCTCCATGTACTATGTTAGCTGCTTCATCAAAAATCCCTTCTCATTCAAAAAGAAAAAAAAGAAAAAAGGTTGTCTGGCCCAGACAAGGCAAAAATTCTGCTGTCACCACCATACATCAAGAAGGTTTTCAGTTTCTTCCCTAAGGTCCTGCCCACAGGACTCCTGGTGGCAGTTTTACAGCTGATGCCCTTATTGTTATTCCTGATGGCCTGACATTCACCCAATACTTGGACCCACTATTTTTAGGCTCCCCAACTCTGCTGTAACTGGAGAGAAAGAGATCAAGGGGACAAGCCAGAAGGTATCTGTTTAAAGTAAATCCAGATTTCCTTTGAACTATATACCATGGAGCCCTCACAATGAGTCAACATTTAGGGAGAAATTGACTTTAACGTCTCTGTATTCAATAATAGTGGATGCTGGTAATAGCTGCGTACAAGTTACTTTTGCTGTTATGGGAAGGTCAACATATCCCAATGAGAAGCACCATTGAAGAAAAATCAATAGCCGCCTTTAGAAATGTCATTCAAATGCCATTCAAAACAAATGTAAAAGGTTAGTGGTAATTTGCTTTGCTTCAAAATATATTATCAGATTAAATGGAAGATGCAAGGACATGGGCTCCATGAAAGGACAAAATAATTAGCCCAAACTATTTAAGTGTCTGGTAAATACACGAGAAAAGGATTCTATTAATCAAGCCAGAAGTTTGTCAGGTTGTACGCTCAACACGCTCATGTGTTCCTGTGTAGTGGGGTCCCTTTCATACCTATGAACACTCAAGAAAACCATTAGAGTTGTCATTGAGCACTTAAATCAGCAGGGTTCAGGAAAGAGCAGAGAGGATCTGGTAAGAAATTGGGTAAAGTGCTTTTTCATGGAGACACTGATGGAGTCATGCTTTTTAAGGAATGAAATGAATACTCAGAAGCAAGTTTAGATATGCCAGGGCATTTTGAGGCAAATACTTAATAGTAGTGTTGGCTGGTGATGTATCTGGTAACCATGGTGAAGTTGGATACATTTAAACACTGTGTTAGAAATTGCTCAAGGATGAGTCAATAGTGAATTTCTTTGGTGAAACTGGGTTGAAATACTTGAGTCTGATTTGGAAATCTCTGCTTGATGACTTTGGAGTCACTTAAGTTTTAGCTTATGTGAGCAATCCTCAGTTTGTCATTTCCAAAGGAAAAAAAAATAAAGATAGCATAAAACAAGTATGAAAGGCCAATATGTCTCAAGGGCAATTTGGATTTCTTAAATGAGGTTAAGTAACAAAACTCCACTGATTTCTCAAAATTATAACTATATCCAAGGGTTATAAGCAACGGCCTTCTTTTTAGAGATGAATAGGGCACATGCAGATCTCATGAATGAGTTTGTGATTATGATTATTTTAATATGGCATGATTCTTCTACTAAAAAGAATAAATGTATTACTTTGGTAAATTTCATTAACTAATGAGGTATCAAAATCTTTTTAACTTCCGGGGTCTTGGGAAAGATATATCTGCTCTTCTTTCTTTTTTTTTTTTTTGTTTCCAATTACTGTTGCTATTTAGGGGACAGGAAAAGCAGATGCCACTATAAAACCTAAAAGAACATCTTTTAAACAAAGGACAATGGCATATGGGTTCTAGATCTGTTATGTGATTAGTAGTTCCATACACTTGAATATTTTCCTCCCAGTGAAGGTAGGAAAACTCCACAAAGGGTTGTCTAATGCTTATGCAGGTATCAGAACTTGTATGGGATTCTCATTAAAGATAGTCACCATAATTGATCAATAGGAAATAATGGTTTAAAAACATGTTCTACACTCAGTGTGCTGGAACTTTATAATCCCAGGATCTTAAAAGTTCAAGGCCAGCCTGGGCAAAGGCAGCAGCCAGAAGCTATATCAAAAACAAATTAAAACAACAGGGCTAGAGGCACAGACCCAGTGTTAAAGAGTGCTTGCCTAATACACAAAAGGTACTGGGTTTAATTCCTAGTTCCAAAAAAAAGAAGAAAAAGAAGAATCATCTAACTTTTTCTGTATTATCCAAGTTCGGAGGAAAAAACATGCTTCAGATATGAAAACCCTCTTTATAACTTTCCCCACTTCTGGGAAGGATTTTGGTATTTATAAAAAATAAACAATTATTTAGAAGTGAGGAGAATGAAGAACACAAAAGATTGAGGAAGAAAATGTATCCTTGATGTTGGAAGAAAAGTAAATCTTGGAAGAATTTAGTAATCAGCCTACTCTTCTTTTGATAGTTACAAGTATTTAGAAGGGCATAAAAAAAATTAGTTAGGCCAGGAACCTCTTAAGAGGCATGCGTTACAAGGTCAATCTAAAGTCGGTAAAGGAATAGCCAAACCTAGTTTAGTGTTACCCACACAGGGCACTTTTTTTTCTTCCAGGAAATAGCCTAATATATGAATAGTGGGTGGTAAAATTCTCTTGGGCAGTAATTGACAAGAGTAGATCAAATTCCTCAGTTTTTTATAACCCAATCCAGCAGGCTGGTAGACACATGAAGACTTGGCTATGTTAATATGGAAGGGGTTCTGCTTCGGTTTATTCTCAATCAGCCCATGCCTGGGAAAAGTAAGCTGTTCACCTGTGAAAAGTATACCTGATACTATTTAAGTCAAAGGCTAAAATGATAAACAACCATGAAACTTTGTAGCCACTTATGGGCATTCTATGATATTAATGTGATATCAGATCACTTTTCTTCTATACTACGTTCAAGCTTCAAAACATAATTTTCATGGCTGGACAAGGCAGAGTACAAATGTGTATACCTGTACAAAGTGTGTGTGTGTGTGTGTGAAAGATAAATAGAATCAGTATCCAACAGACTAACAGCAAAAAAATCCCCCACAAATTGTCTTAAGTACATGTCAGAAAAAAGTATATAAAGACCCTCAGAGTCTGCTAATATGAAGAGAATCCATTACTATTCCCCCCTTGTTTCCTTTTTCACTGTTGGCTGCCACAAAAACAGCTCTTGGGAGAACAGCATCGCTACTCAAGTGTTAGAGAAACAGTTGTTAGATTCAACTACTGTCTTCCCAAACTTCAATTATAATGATACTTTTCTAGATACTTTCAAAGACAACCTCCTGCAAGACTTTAATATAACTGAATGCCCCAATTCAAGGATTTTCACTACAAAGAAAAGTCTAGTTGCTGTTCTGTGTTTTCAGAAGCAGCCTTGTTTTTGTAACTAGGCTGTTCTTACGCTTGGAGACATCGCCCCCTGCTGTAAGAGATCTTTAGCTACAGAAGGATGAGAAAAAAGACAATTAATAAAATGAAACTTTATTTTAAAATAATATACATATCACTCATTCCATTTTATATTTGTAGTGCATAGATATGTGTGGAAGGAAGCACATAGGAAATTAACCATAAGAAATAAAGATAGAAGTATATATGCAAAGATATTCTATGTATCTATAAACAGGCTTGGAGATATCAAAAACAAGATTAAAAATCATGCAAAAATCTATTTAAACCATGGTAGGCAAGTGCAATCAGTAAAAGTTATGGTTTTCTAGATACAAAACTCTACATGTTCTTTGGTTTGAAAATAATACAAATGTGTGGCTTGGCTTTTATGTTCCAAGACAAAGATCAATAAAAGTAAAAAAGAATGTGTATATTGTTATGCCATATGTGATAGTAAAATATTCAAGGCCACAGATGGAGGTCATCAGCTTACAAAAGAAAAATGAGAGCTAAAGTAAATATAGAAAAATGCAATAAAAAATGCCACCTCTGCCTAAATCAGGAAACAGCAAATAGGCATTAAAACAGCTAACCACACCATGCTGAGTTTTCATTTTCTCTGATAAAAAGTACTCACGGTATATTATAAAGTTCAGTGAATACGATGAACAATAAATGTAAAGTTTTGGCCTCAGGGCAAATTTCATTTCCCTTTCATTTTATACATGAATGAAAAAAAAAGAGTATAGAATAAGAAATGTTCTCCATTTCTTTCAGGTCACTATCTTTAATGTTTAATTTGGCACCAGGATATAGCAACATGAAGACTAATTAAAAGCAAACTTTCAACTAAGATTTCACATTAGGAAATCAAATGTTCTTCACCATTATAATAAAAATCAAATGCTTAAAGCAGGTTTTAAAGTTGGGATAGAAAAATCAAAAAGGAAAAAAATTACAGAGAACAGAATATTCTGGTTGCCTTTATAGATTTTTTCCCCCTTTTATTGTTTTGAAATTGCATCCTATTATTGAAATGCAGGCCGCTTTGGATTGTTACAGCTCAGTATTGCTTGGCGCTCACCTCCTAAGACAACATCCTCTTACACTCCACTGAACAGAAAACCATCCCTTCCACAGGCATGAACTTCTGTCCAATGAGACACTTGCTGCAGCAAGAGCACAGAAAGCACTCAGTGGACGCATGCCAGTTGAAGTTGTTGTAGGTCACCCTCTGAACTTCCGGATCAATGGCATTGTGGCATCCTTGACACACCTGTTCAGAAATAAAACAAGCAAGGGAAAGGGAGTGAGGGATTCAACTACGCCAGGAACATTTTCACCAGGAGATAAGCTGAACCAATGTTTACCTCAAGAATACACAACCGAGATTGATCTCTCAGTGAGCCTCTTTAGCCAGGCATCATTAGTGGGGACTTACATGCTGAGTACAGTAAGAAACAGCAAGCAAATCCAAACAGGTGATTTGACGCTTGCAAGATATCTCCATGGTATTTAAGATGAAATGTCTTGACACCAAACTTCAAAACACTACATTGGTTCCAGTGTATTCTATTAGAATAAACTGCATATAGGTAAATAAGAAGAAGCTGACAAGATGATATTGTTTCACTTATTAAAGCTTTGAGGCAGTAATTTCACCAGTCTTGCCTATGACACATGAGATTATTAACCCCACTGATTTCTAGACACTAGTAAATTAAAATCATGTTCAAAGTAATTAAGGACTCAATTAAAAACCTGGACAGCATTTGAGTTTGCACTCAAAAATATGACTTGTAGTGAATTAGCTTCTGTTCTGTCATAAAAAGCAATTAAGTTTATGTATAACCTTATATATAACTCACTAATACATTCCACTCAGTATTATACATGTGTTAAATACACAAATAACCTATACACATATATTCATATATACACATATATACATTTTCTTCCTAAATATATGAAGAAATTAAGAAACTATTTTCGATTATAGCAGAAAACAGACCAACTGAAATCTTCAAAACACTATTTTATTCTTTTTTTTTTTTGGTTCCTGTCATGGGGCCTGAACTCTGGGCCTGGGCACTGTCCCTCAGCTCCTCAGCTCAAGGCGAGTGCCCTACCACTTGAGCCACAGCTCCACTTCCAGCTTTTTTCTTTTTGCTTATGGGTGCTGAGGAATCGAACCCAGGGCCTCATGCATGCAAGGCAAACGCTCTACCACTGAGCTACCTTCCCAGCCCCCCAAACACTATTTTATTCTTTAACCAAGACTTTCCCCAAATTGATAGCTGATGATGATCTATAACTACTATGGTTTGTTGCAGATAACACAATTAAAAATAAAAAAGCCAGATGTTGGTGGCTCAAATCTCTAATCCTAGCTACTCAATAGGCTAAAATCTGAGGACCCAGTTCAAAGCCAGTAAAGAATCAGAAGCAGAACTATTCCTCAAATGGTAGAGTGAGAAGTTCTGAGTAAAAAAGCCAAACAAGAGTGAGGGTTCAAGCTTTAGTACTGACACACACTTTTTACCATGGATGTATATTACCTATATCTTGGCAGGCATGTCTGTGTAAGCAATCTCACATTAAGTACCTGGTCCACACAATAAATCTAAATATGCAGGTCAAATTTGGCTAGATTAAATCAATTCAATGAGAGTTTAAGAAACACATTATTTAATCTCATGGAGCAAAACCAAAATCCTATTGGGTGGTCCAGTAACATGAATAGAAACTACATACATTCAAATAGGGCTACAGATATAAACAGCCACTAAGTATATGTACTCAAATAGGATCTGATCTATACCCATGAGATTAATCAATCTTATTCCCATTAAGGATTTTCCCAAGTAGAATTTATAATCTTATATTATAATCAGGCAGGAAGAATGACCCATTTTGAGGTGGCTCACAGCCAATACATGTATTGTTTTGGAAGTGCCTGGGTTTTAATGCCCTACGGTGAAATCAGGATTGACTGCCTTCTGCACACCCTTCCTTTTTTTGTGGTGCTGAGGACCAAATTTAGAGCCTTGAACTTTCTAGGCAAGCAGTCTTCCACTGAGCTAAATCCCCAATGCCAAATGAGAAGAAACATTTTGTTTTCTTGTGGTGCTAAAGATATAACCCAGAGGGTTGTGAGTGCTAGGACAGTGCTCATCTCCAGCCCTGTTCCCCATTTTCAAGAGGCTTAAGTCACAAAACAGGCTGAGACAATGATGTCTCCACAGATTCTCACCACGGCGTGGTTCTTCACGTAGCAGGGCTTGCACGTGGGCTTGTCACTGACCATCACATATATTTCACCTGCGAGGATGTTGTCACAGTCAAAGCAGCAGAAGTGTTTCAGATGCCAATTCTTGTTTTCTGCTTGGGTATATTCATTGCTGAATATCAACTGCAAAGAGGAAGAAAATACGATGCATTCATTTTCTTTACAGAGGGCAAAGCTAGGTTCATTGGACAGTAAGACATTCATATCGATAAGCAGATCAGATACTTTCTTGGAGCTTAACATCTGAAAATGATACCATTAAGCTTAGATTCATGCTATTATTTAGTCCACATCAACCTTTAGTTTCAGGATAGTCTTTCATTAGTCAACAACACTAAGACAGATACCCAGAATGAAAGAAACCAAAAGTTTCTCTCATGTCATTTTTGGATGAAAACCAAGCAATGAATACTAAATTCCTGCTGCCCTCTGGATACGGCAGCCGTGAAGGGACACGAGGAGGATCTCCTTGCGGGTGGCCTCAGAGCATACCTCATCACAGCCCGCACACCGGGGCTTCTCGCTGTCACAGTAATGTCGGCCACAGTACAGCTTCCCGCTCTTCCAGAAGTATATCATGTCGACCAGGAGTTCACTACAGCTGCTGCAGGTGAAGCAAGCGGGGTGCCACAGTTTATCATAGCCTGCCCTCTCGGCATAGATGGCTGGGTCTCCTTCTTTCATAGCCAGTTTGCAGCTGTGGCAGGACTAAAAGGCAACAATGGCATTCATCAGTCTCAGCTTTGGGAGGAATTCGGACCAACACCTTCAAGGGAAGAAATTTCTACTGCAGCTATCGATCTGTATTATCTAGACGATAAATGAGGTGTTGATACTTGCATATATTCCAATGTCTTGTCTGTCTCTAGACTGTTCAGTTTACTTTTCACTCTAATTATAATAACGCACTTTCCTGAATCGAATTCACTTATAGGAAAGGGTGATCATAATTTTCAACTGAATTTTACCTGAATTCTTGCAAAAATGAGTATCTTAGAGCTTATTAGTAAATTCTCTTTAAGACTAAACCTCATTGGTTTTAGGTGCTCAATGGATCCGTGAAAAACAAAGCACAGTAAGTACAGCTTTTATGGTTTCTCCACTTGTGTCACAATTGTCTTCTAATTTCAAATCATTAGAAAAATACTGCACTAGATACAGAGGAGGATTTTGAAAAGGCAGAAATGGGACAATATTGGCTGGAGACTAGTCAGGGCTAAAGTTAGTATAAGACCCTGTTTGGAAAACAAATTACAATCAAAAGACTAGGACCAAGGATCAAGTGGTAGAGCCCTTGTCTAGCAATCACAAGAACTTAAGTTCTATTCCCAGTACCCCTGAATAAACATATAAACACAAATGAATGAATGAATGCATGAATAAATAAAATTTATTTTGAAAATACAACCACACAAATTTAAGTCTGAAATTTAGGCATAGTCTCATAAGCAAGGCTGAATTAATCAAAGCATATATTATTCTAATTTCTGGGAAGGAATAAACACCAAAATTATCTTTAGAAACTAATAGTAAACTGGGATTTTGTCTTCTAACAGGACGCCAAGGCTGACTACTGTGTATACGTAAGTTCACGGTTATTCAAACAAGTTGGCTTTAGAAGTTTCAAACTCTGAGACAAATGCATACTAATTTTGTTAAGTCTTTCCTATATCTGTTATTTTTAGAAAATGAGGAACAGCACCACATAAAAGATGGAAGAAAGGGAAAGAACCTGTAAAATACACAAACTAGACCAACAGTGTGACCAATCTACTTACATATTGGGATTTTTTGTTGTCGGAAGACTTCTTCTCCAGGGCTCCCATTGCTGTTGGGGTGCTTCTGTCCCCGCCGGAGATATGTACTTTGTCAAGGCCGTGGGCGTTCATCTCACAGGGGAGTGTGACATCTCCTACTCCCAGAGCCTCATGCTTGTATTTCTTCACAAACTGCTCCATCTCCTTCACCTCGCTGGCAGACAGTTCATGGCATTTTGATGGATCTTGGTCATGTGCAGGGAGCTGCTTTGCCAGCTGCTTCTTCCGGTACTGTGCTCCCTCAGAGCCTGCCACTGGTTGCTTGTCTTTAGGCAGCATCTGCATGTACTGTCTAGCCTGAACCAGAGGGAGACCCATGTTAACTGAGAGAAGCAGCCCTGGCCATTAGACCGTGCAATCTTTCATAGCAAACATCAGGAGCAAGTTATTAAGAAGCAGGTTTTATCCATTAGTAAGAATTTATCCTCATCCTGTAAAAATACCTTGATTTTAATGCACTAAAAATGGTACTTTAAATAAATTTAGTGGGAAAATCAACATATTTTCCTCTGTGAAATTAATTCTTGTCAGTTTGTAAAAACAACTGGATTATTACTTGTCTAAATCAATAAATGTCAGATTGAAAGGGATCATAACTGTCTTGGGGGGCACTGCTGGAATGGCCTATGGATCAATAACAGTTCTTTGTATAAAAATATCACAAGATTCACTTTAAGGATCTAACTAACCTTCCTAAAAAACTTCCACAATGCTTCATCTAGCTTTCATTATAGTGGAAAGAGCTTGATACCAAACTGCATTTTTTGGCCTTATATAGTAAAATATTTTTTGTCCAGGCAGAAATTCCACTCTTTAGATATTCCATACCATTTGGACAGAAATTTTCTCAAGTATAAACCAGAAGAATTACTAGATTGCCACAATATCTGATGTTCATGTCATCATTAAAAAATGTTAAATTTCCCACAAATAAATTAGAAAACCCAGACCTAGGTAGTCTATGAGGTATTTAGTTTCCAAAGACTGTAATGGTAGGAAGGAGTTAAAGTAATGGCAACTTCAGAAAAATAATAGATGTAGAATATGTGAGGTTGACCAGGTCACTTAGGAAAGTGTCCTAAATACATAGTCCCAGGAACTTCAATAAATTAAACCTTCTTCCAATAGTATTTACCAATGCCTGATTGTGGACAGGAGGAGCCCATTCATAGGTAACCGTATTGATGGAGACATTCTTCTTGGCAGGAACAGGATTAGTCAATATCATAACATTGCGCTTATACATGGGAACTCCATCAGATTTTAGCTTTGCAATCAAGGTGGTATACTTAGTGTCTTCAAAAAGTTTCCCCACTTTTTGATCCTCCTCATTGCTCAAAAGGACATCATGCTCTTCTTGGCCACACTTGCAGTTACGACATACTTTTCTATAATTTAGGAAATAATGAGAAAGTAGTTATGTATGGTGAATCAATAGTAATAAAGCATGAGCATGCATTTATGGTTCAGAAAATACAAAATATATTCTCTATATAAAGGTATGTATAGTCAAGCCTTTTTTCACACAAGGAGGAATAATATTCATAAATTTAAGAAGAAATTAATGCAAAAATATGTACTTGCTTGGTAAGACTGAAAAATTAGGTGATGGCTAGAAAGTTTCAAAGGGTTATGTCTGACTCTGACCTGTACTCTGCACTCTCTCACCAAAATACATACATGCATACATATATACATATGTGTATGTATATATACAAGCACCAAATTCCTCCATAAAGAGACAATAAACACAAAAGAGAAATAAATTTGAGGTAAGGAGTAGGTGCAGAGAAGGCTGGTAAAAACCTCCAAGTTATCCATTAAGCCTCAGACTTATCCATTAAGTTTGAAATACCTGTAAAATAGAGAAAAGAATAAGTTGAAAAGAGAGGGAGAATACAGTCAAGAATTCAATGTGATCCCACAAAATCTAGAGGGAGATCAAAAACTAAACTTTTGAAAGTAGCCTGGCACCGGTGGCTCACGCCTATGATCCTAGCTACTCAGGAGGCTGAGATCTGAGGATTGTGGTACAAAGCCAGCCTGGGCAGGAAAGTCCCTGAGACTCTTATCTCCAATAAACCACTAGAAAACCAGAAGTGGCGCTGTGGCTCAAGCGGTAGAGTGCTTGCCTTGAGCTGAGGATCTGAGGGATAGCCCCCAAGCCCAGAGTTCAAGCCCCACAACCGACAAAAAAATAAAATAAAATAAATAAATTATTGAAAGAATCAACTTCATAAATAAGAAAATTAAGCAGATAATTCTCCAAAAAAAGAAATACAAGTGGCAATAAATACATGAAGAAATGCCCAGTATCCCTGTTAGCAAAGAAATTAAATAAAAACAAAACTGTAATTACATCTCACTTGTCAGAATGACTATAATCGAGCACACAAACAAGTGCTGGTGAGAATATAAAAGTTGGTAAGAATGTAAATTAATTCAAGCACTATGGAAAGCAGTGTGGAGCTTCCTCAAAAGAACAAAAAATGGAATTACCGGGCTGGGAAGGTGGCTCAGTGGTAGAGCGCTTGCCTTGCATGCCTGAGGCCCTGGGTTCGATTCCTCAGCACCACATAAACAACAACAACAAAAAGCCAGAAGTGGCGCTGTGGCTCAAGTGGTAGAGTGCTAGTCTTGAGCTGAAGAGCTGAGGGACAGCACCCAGGCCCAGAGTTCAGGCCTCACGACCGGACCCCCCCCCAAAAAAAATGGAATTACCATACAATCTAGTGATGCTATTCTTGGGCATGTATTCAAAGCAATATAAGCCACAATATAATACAAGCACCTGAATTACTATGTTTATTGCATTATTTTTAACAATCTTTGGAAATAGTCCAGGTGACTTATAACAGATGAACTCCTTTTTTTCCAGTCCTAGGGCTTGAACTCTCTAGCACTGGGTGCTGTCCCTGGGCTCTTTTTGCTCAAGGCTAGCACTCTTCCACTTGAGCCACTCATAGCATTACTTCCAGTTTTGTCTGTGATTAACTGCAGATAAGAATCTCATGGACCTTCCTACCCAAGTTGGCTTTGAATTGCAATCCTCAGATTTCAGCCTCCTGAGTAGCTGGGATTACAGGCATGCACCACCAGCACTTAGCTCAGATGAACAAATTTTAAAAACATAAATGAATGGACGTATATATTAAAAATGTGGTATATATACAAAAGCATTATTTATCCATAATAATAAAATTATGTTATTTGAAGGTAAATGAATGGAAGAGGCAGAGACCATAATATTAAGCAGAGTAAGCCAGACTCAGGTTACGTATTTTCTCTCATAGTGGAAGCTAGACTTATAGCACGTGTGTACACATGTCCATCTGTATGTACATGTATACACACATGTTATAAGCACAAATGTGTATGTTTACAATATGTGTGTTTATAACATATACCAGGTATACTTAGCACATAACTCCAATTAATGGGAAATTATCTTATTATAAATATTGTTAAATTGTACTAGTTAGAACTATAAGAAAATGCAAAAGCAGGGGCTGGGAAGGTGGCTCAGTGGTAGAGCACTTGCCTTGCATGCCTGAGGCCCTGGGTTCGATTCCTCAGCACCACATAAGCAAAAAGAAAAAAGCCGGAAGTGGCGCTGTGGCTCAAGGGGTAGAGCGCTAGCCTTGAGCTGAAGAGCTGAGGGACAGCGCCCAGGCCCAGAGTTCAGGCCCCATGACCAGACCCAAAAAAAAAAAAAAAGAAAATAAAAAAGCAACAGAATTGATCAGAATAGACTATACTGTAGTTATTTACAGATAGTATGACTCATTAAAAAATAACTGTAATGTATTATCATTAAGAAGAGTTCAATAACTAAAATGTTATAGACCGTGATAGATAATTTGCTCCAGGAAAGTTAGAATGTTTGTGACTTTAACTGAGCATCACTATTCCACAATATTGTGAACTTTGGGAAATTATGTAACCACTTAATCACAATACAAAATTTGAAGAAAAAAAAAAAAAGAAGAGTTCCATAGATTTTCTCAAGTTAAAATTTAGCAGGATGCTGGTGGCTCATTCCTGTAATCCTAGCTACTCAGGAGGCTGAGATCTGAGGTTAGTGGTTCAAAGGCAACTTAGGCAGGAATGTCTGTGAGACTCATCTCCAATTAACCACCAGAAAACTGGAAGTTGAGCTGTGGCTCAAGTGGTAGAACTTGAGCTGAAGAGCTCAGGGACAGCACCCAGGCCCTGAGTTCAAGCTGTACAACCAATGGGGAAAAAAAAGAACATAAACCATAAGATTTTCCTATACCTGAAACAAAACAAACAATAAAACCTTAAATGAATCTTTGCCAAATAACAAATTATCAAATAACTACATATTTTTGTGTCCTGAGTTTTCTTAAAATTCTTCTCAGTATATAAATTCAAAATACTGGATCTTATTTGGAGTGTGAAAGAGAGGAAGGAAAAGAGAGGAGGAGGAGGAAAACACAGCAGCAGCTTTTGTCCTTGTATACACATTCGTCAGGAAACTTTATTTGGTTAAAAAAATTGTGGAGAATTGGCATATTTTATTACAGCTATAAAAGATTCTTTCTTCCATCTGGTTATCTCATACTCCCATCTAGTGGAAAGAAGTATATTATTCTACTATACAGTGTGGTGTTTATTCTTGTTCTTCAGTTACCAAGAACAATGGAATTATTTACAAAACTTTCACATTGCTGTTGGCTCAAAGTTAAAATTATATCTTCCTGGGTGGTAAGAATAGGTTGAGTAGGAATTTATCCCTTCATATTGCTAAATAGATCCTTATATGGCTGTAAACTGTGGCATGCATCCTAATAATGAGCAATGTGATTGCCTTAGATGTAGGACATAAAGTCTGGGCTTTGAAAATGTTTATGGTCAAGTTCTACACTATAACATACTGAAAACTAAGGAGTCAGGTTTTAGATATTGAAAAATGAACAATAAAAGACAAAGTAAAGGAAACAAAGCCTGCTGGTTTCTAAAGCATGAGCTATAGCAAGCTAAAGCATAGTTAAATTGTATTTCCTGTGAAAGCACTAAATATAAATGCTTCTATTAACCATCTCTACAATTGTTTCTCTTGGCCACTTTATGGCAGATTCACATTTGGAAGTAGCCTATTATGCATCCAATGTACATATATTTGACAAGTAAAATCAGATTAAAAAAAAACACAAAACACAATACACCAGCAATAGTGATAAGGAGAACAGAAATAACTGAAACAGTCACATGTGCTCAATTTTCAGCTTTCTAAAGGGAGAAATCCTATGGTTGATTCATTAATAATTTTTAATTCTGAACTGTAAGTGTACCCAGTCTTTTGTATTCTCATTCCCACATGTGAGTTAGGGTTCAAGAATGTTTGGTAAGAATGTGACTCAGAAATGACACGCTGGTCCATTGGGCTGGGGCTGTCATCACAGTAACAGCTGGAAGTGACCACATCCTTTCAGCAACCTTACACTGCAGTCCCACTTCCAAATGAGAAGAGCCGGATACAAACCACTCTGCAGAAAAGACACTCATAAAATCAGGTCCAGGCACCAGGGGCTAACCACTGTGGAAATCTGTGCATTTACTGCTTAAAAGTTTAAAATTGTTTTAAAATTTTCTCTCGTGGCTTTACGCTACAGTGTCATTTATGGGGGAAATATAGAGGAGGCGATACAGAATTAGTTAAAAGATAGAGAGGTAGCCTGGGAAGGCTTGTGGTGTATGTGTGTGAAAGGTTAGGAATTTGTACTAAAAAGTTATTTATACAAAAAATGTTTAGTAGCTAATACACATACATATGCAAAACACTAATATCCAGGACAAGCCAAAACTGTATACTGAAAACTTGAAGTAACAACTTGAAAATTCTTGAGTTAAATCAGAGGAAGAGAGAAAACCACAGAAAAATAGATTTAGACTCCCAAGCTAAAAGCAGTAAAGAAACTATCCATCTGCCTGAGAGTTGTTTTTGTATCGCTATTCATAAAATTTGTTATATTTCCAGCAAGTAGCAGAAACGAGAGTGTCTTGACATGCTGCCAGTACTCACAGTGATTTAAAGGCAAGGCCAGGGCCTGGCTACAAACCGTAATTTAAAAGGGCTGGACGCTGGCTGCCCTTCTGTAATGGGGATATACATATATGGACTTGAACATGGGTCTCTGTTCTAGCATTCAACACAAGTATTAAGCCATTTATGGTGGGGAATTGTAACTTTTCTGCCAGCACTCATTAATTAGAAATTCTGAGCAGATGCACAGTAATAACTTTGGTGTTTTTTTCTTTTTCTAAAATGTAACTTTGTGGGGTTTTTTTTGGGTCTGGTCGTGGGGCCTGAACTCTGGGCCTGGGTGCTGTTCCTCAGCTCTTCAGCTCAAGGCTAGTGCTCTAC